CGTGGTGTTTACGAATCTCTCTACTCCTCCAGCTTCGTGGGCCACGCTTTCCGCGACGGTGGTTGCCAGGTGCAGTTTGCCGCTTTGCATTACTGCCGCGGGAACAGTGTCCATACACACCTCTCGCCACTACCACCGTCTGTGCATCCTCACCGCCACGCTGAGCCAGCGCGGCGGTGAGTTGCACCTTGGGACACCACCCGCCTACTATCTGTTGTGTCCTGGTTCGCCCGCGAGGGACTCACTAGGTCGATTTCGGCCCCGGCCGGGGAGCAGGCCGAGGAGGAGGAGGGTGGTTGTCTTGCGTTCGCGCGTCCCACTTCACTCTCAGTACCGTTGTGATGCTTTTTTTTGTGTTTCGGTACAAAGTAGCGCGCCGCCGGGGGGCCTAACACACACACACGCACTGGCCTCAAACTCATCCATCAACGAGCACGTGTTTGGTTTAATTGGAGTTGTGCCATACGCCTGTGCCGCGTACGCAAAAGCGAACCCATCTAGAGACACCCCTGCGTCCGTGCATAGCCCTGGGCTTGCGTCTTTTCGCACCTGAACCTTGTTGCTGATGGCCCACATCTTCAACACGCCTGTTACGCCTATGGTCAATAGAACCTGCGAGCGTACGAAAAATCAAGACGCAGAGACCGAAAGAACACATCATCGGAGGTGGGGGCGTGGGGGGTTCATCCAAAACTGGTTTTGAGAACGCTGGGACCCTACATAGCGAAACGAATAGGGCGTGCTTGTTTGTGCCCGAACAGATATGGCACGGTAGACCCCACGGGTAAGTACCGCAGTTGGTGGATGTTTCCGCCTAGCAATACCTTGGACACATGCACGCGGCGCTTGCGCGCGCACTCACCGCAAGGGCGACCTCAAGGATCGCTACCGCGGTAGCGATGGTCATGATCCCGACAAGCTTCCAGGAAAAGCACGTGAGGCATACCAGCCTGAGCAGGGCACAGAAAAAAAGCGCGGCAAGAAAAATGATGATCGTTGTTGAGCGAGCTAGCAAAAACGTGCGTGACGGACGTGACTTGACATGCATCTGTTGTCACAACCCTCCCTATGTGTGTGTGTGTTGTGTCTTCACTGATTTCGCCTGGCTTCGCCTTGGCTGCCTTGCCTACGTGACGAACCCAGAACGCTCGATCTAATCTAGTATTTTCTGCCCTTCTTGAGGAAGTGGATGAAAAATGACTTCCGTTCGCCACACGTTCCCCAATCATACCAATGCTTTGCTGTGTCAATTGTGGTCCACCTTCTACTGCGTGCATCTCCACCGGTGTTACTTACCTTCGCCTGGCACACTGCTGTGTGTGCATCGCTGTTGTGTGTCTGTCTGCAACGTTACCGCTGCGGGGGAACATAAAGCAGTATTCGTCTGAAAAACGTGTGTGATGTTCATGTCCGCACAGTGTCCTACAAGTCCTGGCAAACGATTGACAATGGGTCTCCTACAAGTGCCCCCTGGCACGCACCCAGAAAACTCCACCGCTAAAAAACATATTATCTGAGGGCATACACCCACGCTTGGAGCAGTGGTTCTTCGCCCAAGATTTTTGGGTGTCAAGGCCAAAGAGAGGTACGACGGCACTGCCAAATAGAAAAATAATTGGCATTGAACTGGTGAACCTCAACGCAAGTTGATATGTGGTGGAGTCGGCTCTCCTACTACCCCACACGCCGGGGCCCACTCATCAACATCGCAAGGGTCGGTTTAGTACAGTACAGTATTTTTAGTACAGTATCGAGAATCCATACAAAGGTTAGTACCAGTCCAGTATGTGAGAGATGAATACTGTGCTCACCTGAGTACAGTACAGAGACCCTGTACTAAACTCAGCAGTACGCTTAGTACAGTATGGAGAGCCGTACTGAACCATACTGTTGCTTTTAGTACGGCTTTTCATACTGTACTGATGCAAACCTCAGTACCGATTCTCGATACTGTACTAAACGTACTGTTGTACGCTTAGTACAGTATGAAGAGCCGTACTAAACGCTATAGCACGCTTAGTACAATATGGGAAGCCCTACCAAACGCAATAGTACGCTTAGTACAGTACTGACAATACCGAAAGAACAACTGAATGTAAGCGTACGCCCTCATGATTCCAACGCCAAGCATCCAATGTTATGAACCCCCCCCCTCGATGCTCCCTCGCACCCTCCCTCTCTGCCTTATCAATCACAATCACTACTAACTGTAGACCGCCAACGCTGTAGAGCACGAATCCTCAATCCACCCACTCGATTGAGTGTTCAAAAATAAAAATCAAATCAGAGCCCCACCAGGTGGTGGTCGTGGCGGGCTCTACGAGTGGAGGAGCTCCACAGCAGTCGGTAAACCTCAAGCGTCCCGAGCCGATCTTCTACTCGAACGGAGAGGAGTTCGTAGAGCCCGCCACGACCACCACCTGGTCTTGTGGTGAAGAACCCGTTGCGGGACTACCCGTACCGGGAGAACCACCCGCACCGGGAGATGCGGTCGAACTACCACTCGCGTTACTCATGCTGCCACCACCTTCCCTGTGGGCCACTACACCAATACCCTCAGTACTCGAGCACGCCAGTACGAGCCCACGATCACTCGCAGGAGCGAGACTGTATGGCGAGACTGTACAATTTTCTGCCGAATAGTGACGTCACCAACACGCCCTTTGGTAGAAATCATGAGAACAGGTACTTGACTGACAGTATACTAAAGCGTACTTTGAGTAGAGTATGGGGGGCTGTACTATCGCGTTAGTACAGCAGTATGGGCAGCCCTACTAAACGCAACAGTACCGTTAGTACAGCAGTATATTGACCCGTACTAAAAGCAACAGTACAGTATGGAGAGCCGTACTAAAACTATTTATAGTACAGTATGGGAACTCTCCCTTCTTCCCCTCGCTCCTCGACAAGCTTTTGCTTAGACATGGGTTGTAGTGAAGGGGGGGGTCTTTCTGGCGAGCAGGGCTAGACTCACCCTCAAGGGATGACCGAAACCTTCTTGCTGCTGCGCATATCCGCCGCGAGGCATGCGCGTGGTGGTGTAGTTGGGTCGGCACTGATGGGGTCAG